CTTTTAGCTCTTTGGCTTTTGGGTCTTCTTACATGCAATTCTTCTAAATAAAATTAAAAAAAACTATGGTTGAACATATAGAGTCTGATGCTGCAATAGAGGAGCATCAGAGCATGTGACCCAAAACAATTTTCTTTTCAACTGCACTCTTATCTGCAGCACTCTTATCCAGATCCTTCATCTAACTCAGCGGTGCGGTTTTGAATTAACCTCAAGTCAATATCATGGTCATCTATCACGCTGGCAGGAGGAGACTTGTGAGTGCGACATTGGAAAGATATTCATCTCAAGAGCAAAACGTGGTGACCTCTAGTGACAATGTTGCTCAGGTGGTCAGAATAACCAAGTCACTCGCGGTTTGAACCTGAGGTATGTGACAGCCAATCGTAACAAAATAAATATGTTTTGTATCTGGAGAATGTAGGATATCGCTTGAATACTTTGTTGTGAAGCAAATGAGAATTACCACGCTGTCTCTTCAGTGTTTAAACGCAGAAACATTATGTTGATGAAGCAATTTAGAAGCAGCATTATCTCTTTTTTTATTTTACAACATCCAATCTTTGCTCTTTGGCGCCTTTAAAATGAATGTTCTCAGCCACGTCCGCGCTATAATTGTTATGATTACTGCAATAACACAATTTCCCATGAATGATAGCCGTATTCACATCAAGCTCTCGATGCAGACTTAACTATGTTATCAATGTTATTCAGTGATTATGTTTTCCAATTCCCCATCAAATTATTAATTTAAAGCTATTACATGGCGAGAGAAAAAAAACCTCATTACTGGTGTTTGTGAGTTTTCACAGAAAACATCAACAATCACAACATAAGATTTATATTTCAATTATCCCACAACTGTAATTACAGAGCATTACAAAAGGTTTTTTTCCAACAACTTTTGTTGAGATATACCTCGTTGCATTCATTCATTTACAAAATCAACCCTTAAATCGTTGTTCTTTTATCAGCCACGACCTTCAAAGAACATAAATAGAATGATTTATGAAAGGCTAATGAGTAGACATATGCAGAGATCACCTCCACATATTACTAACAGTATACAGATAAGAGGTAAAAGTCTCAGGGTAAATATGGAGAATATTTATATCTGTTGAAATGTTTTGATGTTGAGAAATAGAATGTCTAATCTATTTCAATTCTCACAATCAAGTAACTTAGGATGTGTGTACTGACCTCTGTGAAAGATTTGGCAAAGAGCATTTTCCTGGTGCGTCTTCTCTCTGTTAGAAAAAGAAAGATTTGAGTTGAAACCTGTTGACCCTTGGTCCTCGTCTCTCTCTGATCCGTTACATTATTGGTCTTGGTCTTAATATGTTTCTTTATCTGTATGCTGAACCTGTCACAAACTAATGGCCAGCCCTGAAGTCGCCTGAGGTCCAGATATAATCATTTTACCATGTACCTCACCAATTTATCATTACACTTACTGTGTGGTGATGGGGAAACAAATGCCTTCATTAGGAGTACTCACTCACACACACACACACACACACACACACACACACATAATTTAACTGTGATTTGCTCATATCAAAAAATGGTTATATTACCATACATTCATATGGTAATATTTGGGTCGCTATCCTTTTCTCCTCTTTGGTTGGGCTGACTGACACTTCAGCATCTACACAGTCTGGGAGCCAAACAAAGCTGTGGATTGACCATTATACAAGAGCTGCATGGAATGAATGTGCGAGAATGCAACTCGGGTGTCATTGCCCCTTGATAATCTCGCTCGTCTTCGGGAATTCATTTTCTCAGCAGCTTCACTTCAAAATGACATTCTGACACCATTTACATGGAAATCACTTCGTCTGCAATAGTGGCCTGCGTGCAGACAGGTCCTCTCAGAGGGCTAGACTATTAATGGACATAAACGGTAAAGAGAATGAAGGAAGGAAGGAAGGAAAGAAAAAAGACAGAAGGAAAGAAAGAGAGAAAATGTAGAAGATGGTGGATATTAAAAGATGGGCTTTTCAGGTTTAAAGTCAAGGTCAGAGCTTTGAGTATAGGTGATGGAGACACTGAAAGTATAATGTGGGAAATTCCTTTTTCTCCCCTTTATCTCACCCTCTCTCTGCCTCTCTCACACAAGAGCGAGATGTAAAGATTTTCCCTGAAAGAAGAAGAGAAATCCACCATCAAAGCAGAGTAGGTCTTGAGGGGAATGCATATATAGGTTTCATCCTTTTAGTTCGCACTGAGAAATAATGATTACAGGAATGTGTCCTTATTTGAAAAGAGATTGAATTACCATGCTTGCATTTCATCTTCTAAGACAATTTCTTGTCAACGTCAATCATTTCTCTGTGGAGTTCATCACAAAGTAAATCAAGGATTTAAATAAATGTCTGTGAACTTCAGCACCTGTGTTTGTGTAATGAAGAGCAATATTTCAGTGCAATCCAAACAACCACGTCTTTAAAGTCCAAAGATGGCATGTCTGTAATGTACACACACTGTATGCATCTGCACTGAATAAACTGTGACACTCGTGACTTCAAGCACAAATGAATAATCAAACACACATTAGCAGTACATATGTAAACTTACACAACGTTGTGTTGTAAACCATAGGTGGGATTAGATTGTCAAGTCATGAATAAATGTGTGTTGTAGAATAATTAATGTGTAAGTGGATTCTATATGAATACCATACATCAAAATGAGAGATCCCTTAGAGTTGTACTCGTGTCTCGTGATAATATGTGTGTGTGCTGTCCTCGTGCCTTTTGTGAAAATTCCTGTTTTAAACCATTTGTCAAATTTCTGTGACGAATGGGGGTAAATGTGGAGAATTAAGGTTATTTGGCTGGATTGACACTGCCTGGACCGGGCATTACTGCAGCACTACTGTGTCTGATAAAGAGCTCATGCAAACACACTGTGCAGTAATAAATAGATAAATTATAGAGCGTTTTTTAAACACTGTGACATGATCCATGTCCTTTTCTTAAGACACTAAACATTACATTTACACAACCTGCTTTTTTTTGTGAATTTACAAAGCTTCTTATTTTAACTGTAAATGTGCTCAAGAACGCACATAAGTGAAACACTAAATAATTCAGAGAAAGCATCATTTCGTTGACTATTTACAGTACGTTTGTATATCACAATACATCATCAGGTAGACAAATGTGTTCAGCCACTGTTAGGTTGCTAACGTTCCTTCGAATGCAGTGCCACAAAATGGTCAGTTTTTTAAAATCCAAAAGTGATGTTGGAGACAACCCTGCCTCAGTAAAAGCTCCGAAGTGTGTGGTGAGGAAATATGACCCTGAATACCTTAAATGTGGATTCATAATGGCAGGCAGTGAGGGGTGAGGGTAAGCATATTTATTCTGGTCATTACAGCTGACAGCAATGCTGGACAAGAAGCAACTTGACAATGGGGTGTTGGCATGGACGATATGACAATTTCATGTTACAACGACCCTGGCCAAAATAATTGCGATGCACAGTTGCATATCCTAAAAACATGCTTAAAACCCTTAGAATGGCACTAAAATATAATGGAATCATTTTGTCAAGAAACGATTATTTTGATTGCATCAAAATCTTCGTTTGGTGAACAACCTTTTTAGTGAAAAAAATGAAAAAGAGATCATAAACCGTAAGGTCCCCCTGCATGAATAAAATATAAAGAAATAGCAATATTGTGAGAGTCTGTTCTTTCTTACATTATAATTCCTGTATTTTTGTAAATCAGAGTCAGGATCTATTTTTCCACTTCTCTGCCATGACAGCAAACTATATATTAAGAACAAGGATGACAAACAATCACACCTCCACAACAGCTGGGGTGTAGATTGCTGTCCCTAACACTGGTGGAGGAGCAGGAAAGGCCTTTTTCACAGCTTGACTTGGCAGAAATAGAGCAATTGTTTCTAATAACGTTAATGGTTTCATTCCATTCCGGTGGCCCAGTAAGCCATGGCAGTGTGACAGTGTGTGATGAGCCTGCATTCACAATAGCAGGACCTTGAAAATAATGCAGCTATGATTTTCCTGCAAACATTGTCAAAATGTCCTTCTCGAAAGAGGCCCTTAGCCTTGTCTTGACCAACAATTCAGTTTTAGGAATTAAGATGAGACAAGTTTAAGTCTGAGGGTCATTAAAGATAACTCCAAGTTTTAGTCATGTGGCTAGCAGGTCACAGTCCGAAGTCTTCAACTGCATATCGGGGTGCAAGTCTTTTATGTGTCTAACTGTATGTTCACCATTAAAATTACACAGCATTTGAATATTTATTTCCATTATTTTAAACCCTGTTTTTACCTAATTGAGACCTTGCAATTAATTTTACCTCATGTTTTAAAATAAATAAGAAGGTCATGGGGTTTTTCTAAAGAAAGAAACACTTGTTTGCTTGTTACCTGTCGAGAATTAATTGAACGTTATCATTAACGTTGCAGTGGCTGTGAGTAGATAGGTTTATAGTTAGCTTAGTTTTGAATTGGCTTAATTTACAGTCACGATTATGTCAACTTAATGGCCAACTTCCCAATATGAGCGACACGCAAGGATGCACTATTGCTTCTGAGAATATGGATACATTAGTGGATGATAGACTCAGCTGTCACAACAATGCAGTCAATGGTCACAACAAACATGTTTGAATGTTTGCTTACTTTGGCTTCACTTTTGTCATACTGGAGTGAATTCTGCTCAAATGTTGCAACGTTGGGGTCTCCTCATTTCTGCATGAGTCTATTTTTGAAAGTTCTCTTGTGTTGCCATACTCATGCGAAATAACTGCGATTCTACAACAACAAACAGAGTCATGAAAAGGGCCATATTGAAGCCTATTTGCAGTTTTGCGTGGTCTGTAGCTTGTAATGTGATTTCTACATGAAATTTCCAATTTCTTGCAGTGCCCGCAAAGGCAGCACAATAGTCCGGCGTGCCATGCGTAGCTGCAACGTTGATAGGTGGAAATAACATGACGTCATTACGTACAGCGGGACGTCTCGGAGAAGATAAACAAAAAGGAAGGAAGCCTTCGGCCATACAATCGCGGCAAAATCGGTTCAAAAATCTAGCTTGCCCGCTACAGTTAGCAACTCCATGTGCCATTACATTGCTTAAAGCATTGCCATTCAGCGTTCACAGTCATGGACGAGGGGATAATATTTCGTATGAGTGCATTTTCCGAGCAAGGGGGGAGGAAATACATGGAGGATGTGGTCGAGATAAGAATCGAGTACGAGCCGACGCCGTCGCCAGTGGAAGATTATCCAAAGTCGCAGGGACATGGAGGACAGGGGAAAGCCGGCAGTGAACCTACAAAACAGCCTGGAAAAGAGGCACGCGACCACGACGTTACTGCCGAGTCTGGCCCAGCCTCTGCGATGTGGGTCGAGAGTCTATCGGAGGAGGGCAGCGACACACCGGCACCGGAGGAAAAAGTCGCAGAGCATGCAGTCGACACTCGGAAGTCTGTGGCGTTTTTCGCCGTTTTCGACGGCCACGGGGGTCGAGAAGCGGCACACTTCGCGAGAGACAATCTGTGGAATTTATTAAAAAAGCAGCGCGGGTTTTGGTCGAAGGATCACAGCGAAGTGTGCGCTGCTCTCAGGAAAGGTTTCATCGCCTGTCACCACGCGATGTGGAAAGAGCTGCGTAAGTCGATCAGAGTGGAGCATACTTGTGTGTTTTTTTTGTTTTTACCTTCACGGGCCTATTTTATCGCCGCCTATTTGCTCACGGTTCGTGCCGTCACAGCTCGAGCAGCAACGCTTGAGACGGCACACCGTGTCACGTGAGGCATCCTTCTCAGCTGGTGTGATGATGCCCATCCCATTACTAATTAACAACACGGCGTGCAGGGTTGACCCGGACCCTTCAATGCAGCTGTGGTGAATCCCTTCATCACAGCGGACAAGAAAGACGTCTTAAAATTAACCTAAATAACTTAATTTAGTTGTGTGGTCTGAGTCTGTGCATTATACAAACACTTTCTTTCAATTTGGGGTTATATCAGGTTCCAATCCATGTATTTATTTATTTTTTTTAAATGAAGGTGGTGAGCATGTGTATTTTGTTCATCAATCTCTCAATCTAATAGAGGCGCAATGTGTTTTCCTCTAATATGAAATACTGTGGATAATATCGCATATTTCTGCAGAAAGGGTTTGTAGAAAAGTGGCACTGATTTCAAAAATGGGGTCTATAAAGGAGGCTCCCAAAAGCATTGTAAAAAAGCAAAAGTCCTCGTGAGTGCCAACAGAAAAACACAGACATCAGACGTGAAGCTTAGGTCACATAAGTTCACTATGGAGAACGGGTAGAAGCACAGCAAACCTTTACGTTCGCGGCCACAGAGCGGCACATGTTAAACCTCTGCTCTGAATGATTGCATATTAAAGTGGGAATGGACGGAACCAAAGAGGACCTTTGGCAGCATGTTGCAGATATCCGGTAAACACGAGTATGGAGGAACTGCGTGCAGTGATGAGGGACTGCCGGGGTGGGATTTTGGATAAAATGCTTGTGTGTTTCATTCTGGTTAGTAGAATGTAAAGCTGGTTAAGCCTGAGCTGAAGCCAAGTCTAAAAACGAGCCTCAACAGCAGGGGGGCTATTTTTCTCTGGCAACATGGGTCAAACCTATTTAATCCTGCCTTATGAAACTGAATTTCCCAAAATAAGCCAGATTTGAGACTCGAGTAAGCCTGGCTTACATGGTCGTCATGTTTTATGCAACAGCTCTCTGATCCGTGGCGAGCAGACTGTTATCTTCATCAGTAGTGCTGTGTGACCGGGATAGAGTTTACACTTTGTGTTTTTCATCAAATCAACGTTCTCCTTGAGTATAAATGTGGAAAAACAGTTGTTTCACCTGTATTGGACTGTTGCTGATGCAGTATGCTTCAGTATAATTTCCTATGATTGCCCTTAAAGCTGTGTAGCTGCTGTGAAAGTGTCCGTTCGGCCCAGACTCGCTTCCAGCTGTCAGTTAAAGACTGTTTTAAAGACTAGGCTTCCTGACCCGATGAGACAATGTCAACGGCTTCCCAAGCCAGATGGAAAGGCTTCTTAACTGTCTTATTCCTTATATTCATAATCCTCTTATGTAGTCTGGAAATCAGACGGTCCAGTATTTCCACCTTTCATTCTACTTGGCTCCGATGTATCCTCTTCACTACTTGTTGCCAGTGAAACTTTTGTTAAAATGTTACTCATGTCTTGTATCTAAGAAACCACATCTCTTGTAAAAAAACCCTAATTTTTCTCCCCTTACAGCGGAGTGGCCAAAGACCATCACCGGCCTGCCCAGTACATCCGGCACCACAGCCAGCGTGATTGTGATCCGCGGGGTCCACATGTACGTCGCCCATGTGGGGGATTCGGCGGTAGTGGTCGGAGTGCAGGAGAACGACTCTGACATCACGCTCCAGGCACTCGAAATAACACAAGACCATAAACCTGAACTTCCCAAAGAAAGAGAAAGGATTGAACGCCTGGGTGGCAGGTGAGTTGGTGAACTGGACCTCAGACAAATTACATCCCACTGAGGGCACATATCTTCTTGACCTTGTTCCTTGACACATTGCTGCGTTCCCTGTCGAGCTTGAAAGCTTTGCTCTTTTAACTGCAGTGTAATGAAAAAGTCCGGGGTGAACCGTGTTGTGTGGAAGAGGCCCAGGCTGACCCATAACGGCCCGGTGAGGAGGAGCACGGTCATCGACCAGATCCCCTTCCTGGCTGTGGCCCGATCCCTCGGTAAGGGTGACACCCCCGCTCGTTCGGGTTTAGTGTCCATAAAATGATACCGTATATATTCGTTGGAAGTATTTTTATTTTTGTGTTATTCCTTTAAAAGTGCTGACATTTCGTCATCTTTTCAAAGGCGATCTGTGGAGCTACGACTTCTACAGCGGAGAGTTTGTGGTTTCTCCAGAGCCCGATACCACCGTGATGACCCTGGACCCCAAACGGCATCGCTACATCATCCTCGGCAGTGACGGACTGTGGAACATGATGCCACCCAAGAATGCCGTCAATATGTGTTCCAGCCACGACAAAATGGTGGTACGCAACTGTAAAAAACGAGTCATTTTCTTATCTTATCTTAGCAGTAGCAGTAATTATCTTCACAGCTGTCGGAGCCTGGAAGCTTTAGGATTTTATTAAATCATTTTATCTCTTTTCCGTCTGCCGTTTCTTTTTTTGCTTCCAGGGACCAAAGGGGATGTCTTGCGCCCGCCGGCTGGGATGCACAGCCCTACTGTTTTGGAAAGAGCGCATGCTCCGCGCAGACAACACGACAGTGATCGTCCTGGCCCTGCAGGAGCGCGGCGGGCCCCCTGTCCCGATGCATCGAGACGAGATTGTTGTCGACATGTCTACAGGAATGGACCATGTTCCCTTCCCAGGAACTACTTATAACACGTGTGTGGTCCCAAAGGTCAGTGCCATGGCTTTGCTGCATCCTCCTTTTTTGTAATTTTTAATTAGGATGAATCATTTAAATCATAAGGCGAAAGGACATATTGTAGGTTATATGTTTTCCAAATGTAGAGACCTCAGAACCTCTCTGACAGTGGAACAATATACAGAATATTTGTGTGTGTGTGTGTGTGTGTGTGTGTGTGTGTTTTTGTTGTTTGCTATTCGCTGTATTGTCCTTTTTATATATCCCAGTCCATTTTGTTTAAATACTGTCACCACTAGTGGAAATCTGAATGTTTGAAGTCACCAATGGCGGATGACTTCAGGTCACACCAACAGTCTTCTATCAGTGGACCGCTGGTTTCAACAAATCACTCTTTGTTTTCGGGGCCAACAGGAGGAGCATGAGGATGACATGTTTTTTGGAGAAGATGAGATATATGGAGAAGAACATGAGGGATGGCCGTGCCTGGAGTGGTAGTGAGGTGACTGCTCAGTTATTAAAAAAAAAAAAAAAAAATGTGTCAAAGTGTCAGCAATGTGACCAGCCAAATGATTCATATGCTCTATTGTTGAACCTGGTGGCAAAAAAAACATCTTTTTTTTGGATATCAACGTGACAAACTTCCCTTACAGCTGGTTGGTCCTCTCTGCTCGGGAGTATTGATTACTGTGGTATGGATGTTGTGCTGCTATAAGAGGGCTGTAGATCACTTATTTATTTAAATGTGCTGTCCAGTCTTTGGAAGGGAAAGTGAGATAATTAATTCCGGCACATTAAATGACTATTAGTCACAGATGGTTACCTTCACCAGTGTCACCTTAAACCTACTTCCCACTTCATCCAGTAGAGGGAGACAGTGACATTAAACTGTTTTCTTCACAGTCCCAACACTTCTTACAGTCTTCAGGAAATCACAGCTGTTTCTTGTGTTCAGTCTTCATTTACCAAGTGAGAAAACGGTAACATTATAAAATACATTATTAGGGTATTAGATGAACAAATGGAATAATCAAAACTAATTCTGACTCCTCATCCAGTTTTCATAACAGAAAATATCTGAAGATTAGATTTGTCCATAACTCTTACAGAGGAGTCTTTTCTTTGGGAGGATAAGATGACCATTTCATCTTTCTTATTTTGCCGTTAATACTTTTAAAAAGACCTTTTGTATTTTTTTTATATAAGTAAATGGCTCCTATAGACAGAGGAGCGCTGAGAATGCTCTGTGATCCACATTATCTCTGGGTCATGCAGCACACATACAACCTAACGCAGAGCCGTTAGAACACATCTTAATCCAGTATTGTGTGTCAAACAATTGTTGTAGTCTCTGTCCATTTGTACCGGCTTCCATCTGTGTGTTTTATCCATTTCAAATGATGAATAGCAAGTTGTGGTTTTATTTCTTGACAAAAATATGATTTAACTTGAATAAATAAATAGATGTGTATTGTAATATAACAAGTTATTTGTTTTATTTCAGCGGAGCGACGCTGCAGATGCTCCCTCCCCAGTCAAAGACAGTTCCACGGCTCTGTGGCAGGCACTTGGTCTGTACAAAGCAGCTTCCGGTGCCGCCGCACAGCTGCTACCCGACGCCGACTCCGTGAGGGCCGCTCTGCCCCCCTCAGACGGTTCAGCGAATGATTTCGAAAAGCAGGAGTCCGCAACCCAAATGGACTGCGCTGCTCCTGCTCCTCCCTTTAAAAGGTCTCGCCGTTCTCCGCACACACCCGCTGCACCGAGGGGTCCCCCCCGTCGGCTCGGCCGGTCCTCCGGCAAAAGTCTCCCCCAGGAGACGCCGGACAGCGATGTACAAAGTGAACATTCCAGTCAAAAGACGAGCTCCTCTGAGGAAAGCAGCATCCTACCACAGCTGATTCTTGTCTCGTAGAAACTGTGTTTTTTTTGCCCTGAGGCGAGAAGGATAATCGCTATCAGGTGTGCCACGGGGGCCAACTCCTAGATGTATACTTTTTATACAAAAAGTCTTCGTTTTTTTTGTAAATATGTGAGAAATTTGAGATTGTAAATGTGTTGCCGTTTTAACCTTTTTCTTCTTCTTCTTCCCCCTCTTTGAAATTTAGTGTTTTCGCAGAAATTTTAAAATCCATTCAATCTATTTTCATACGTATAAGTATGTATAGTATATCCAAAAGATGTATTTTGATGGTGGATAATTACAATCTGAGATGACGTCACAGTTCACCAAAATAGTGACACGTGCAATCTTCCAGTTTAGATTTCTATCGAATGAATTGACGGTGTTTAAATTGATTTTACTCGTCTGATGCCATAACATCCCAGTCCTTCCTTCAGTGGAGTCAGTACCTCAGACCAGTTGTTCCATAGATGAAATGTGCTGCCATGCCATTGTTAGTGTTTGTATTTAATCGGGTTCAGTAGAAGCCCCTGTTAGTGGTGATACTGTCGTGTGCAAAATAATGGAAACGTGTGAAAAGCAATGGTCTGAGGGTATTGATTATAAATCTGTTACTTGTTCCATGTTTACCAGTGGCTAATTATGTATGTGTCATCACAATTGCTACTCGGCTAATTGGTGTATCTTACGCATAGCTTGTGAGGAGGCGTTAAAGGGTCTGTTCACCTAAATCAGACAAAACAGAATATATCCTCTCATTTTCCCTCGTGGTATCTCTATCCATGTACATAATGTGTGATGGTAGTGAACTGACCCTTTGATGGTACTTTGCTGGACATTCTTTTCTTTGCTGGAGAGATCCATCTCCATTTTTGATTTGACCATAAGGTATTGGGTGCTGATGTGAAAGCCAAAATCAATACCTGTGCCTCACTGGAAGGTTTGGAGTCTGCTTCCTCCTTGACTTTTCTTTATTTTGAGTGTCCACCGGACACCAACACTATTCCAAAAGCCCTTTTCATATTATTTTCATATCTTGTATCCTTGTATCCTTGTGTGTGTGTGTGTGTGTGTGTGTGTGTGTGTGTGTGTGTGTGTGT